TGTAGGTGACTTAAATTGTTAAAAACCAAGCTCCTGATGCTCCATAGTCTAAATTTTGCCTCTTACATTCCTTAGTAAACCGTGTTGCTTAGGCCAAGCATGCCACAGTTAGTCCTTCAGCAAATGCTAGTGAATACTCTTACAGGCATATCCAACCTTTTGACATTGAGATACGATGTTGTTGTCTACAGTCATGTTCAAGTACCACACAGTTGACTTTTCAAAAATAGATAATGAAGAAATCCCATAATGTTTTAAGTAAGCTTGCCAGTTGGGGTTGGGCCATATTCATAGCTATCCTTGGCAACGCGTAGCCCACAGGCTGCCAGTAAGTTGGACAATGGGCTATCTTAAGACTGTTCACAGCATTTTCTCTAGTATGGCTGTTCTGGTTTAAGTCCTTATCTTCTCTTGGGGTGGCTGGAAGGATTTTCCAATGGATTACGTGCTTTTGCCCCTCCCCTAACTTAATATAGATTCCTGTTAAAATGTAATGTCTTTTCATTAACAAGCTCCAATGTAAGCTGGCCCTTGACGCCCTCTGCACATTGTTATCTGTGAGGACCCCTACCTCTTGTTCTCCTTCAGGTACATGGGCCAGCTTTTCCCAGTGATCCACAGTATAGTCTGCCTCAGAGTTTTTGTTCTGTTGTTCCTCTGCCTTAAATTCTCTTTCTCTAGGTACTTAATGCAGATTATCGCTTCCCTTTCTTTGGATCTATAATCACATGGCATTTCTTCAAGAAGGTCCTTTTGTTTATTATTCATCATGCTCAAAGCAGCCATCTTCCTAGGGTCTCTATCTTGCTGTGCTTTTCCTCTATACATCTTAGCACTAACTGCTATTATATTTGAACTATTCATTATTATCTGTATCCACATTGAAATGCAAGCCCCATGTAGACAGGGAAAACCAAGGCATTGCTTGGTTCTTTGTTCACTAATGTGGGTTGAGTACGCAGAAAAGTGCCTGGCTCATTTAATACACTTAATATATATGTGTGGGCTGAATGACTGTATGAATAAGTATGTGAAAGGCCTAATGGAATACTCAAATACAAGTCACTGCTATCATCTCCATATGCAGATCATGTGCTATGTGTACACTTCCTCCTGCTCTCTGACACTCTGGATTCTTAATCTTTTTCAGTATCAATTGCCTCTTGCACCTACTCCTCCAGGTTTCATGTTTCTTCTCCATCTCAAAAAAAAAAAAAAAAAACCCTGCTTTTTGGAATGAATTTTATAACATACATGGGTTCATATACTATAGAGCAGCTTGTGTCAGGAGAGGAGGATTCTTTTGTGGTAATGATGGTGATAACAGAAAATACAGAGAAAGAGACAAGAAAGTTGGACACATTTAGTTCCAAAGTTCTGAAGCTTGAAGGTAAATGCCCTTATGAAACCATTGCAAATTGGAAAAGTGTCAAAAGATTGTCCCTTTTCTGATTAGAATGTACCTGGAGTGCTGATGCCATGGCTTAGTGGGTAAAAGCACTTGCCACAAAAGCTTGTTGGCTCTAGTTTGCTTCTTGGAACCCCAGGCAGAATAAGAGAACCACCTCCCAAGAGTTGTCCTCTAATGTTCAAGCCTGCCCCCTGGAATGTGTGTCACAGGACATGTGCATACACTCACATAGTATCCATACAACATTAATAAATAAAAGTTAAAATGATGTAGTCATCTGGAGGCCAGTGTTTCATATACAATTCTGAGTCCAATATGGATGCTGAGTTCTTATTTAAGACAAAAATCTGACTTCAGAGATGTCAAACAGTATAATGAGAACTGAGAGGAATGGTTGGACAGTAGTAATCATTGCAAACATTGTGCCAGGCATTATTACAAATTCTCTTAATAAGGTTACCTAACCCTCATCCTATGAGGAAGATAGTATCATGTCTTCTTTCAGATGAGAAAATGAAGATACAGAGATGTTAAGTAACTTAGTGTCACACATCTAGCCACTGCTGATTTCAAGTCATGCTTTAACCATTGTGCTGTTGTCTTTGGATATATGCAGAGATGCAACTGAAGAAAACTGAGGCTGATACTGAAGTTCTAAGAAGGCAGTTTTTAGTTTTAACCTCAACTTCTAGATCCAACCCTTAGTCCCACATATATCCAAACTGTATAATAGGCTTAATGCCACTACTTTATTACACTTACTCATGTCTCTTCTGTTAGCCTGTTTAGCTACCTTTAAGGATTGTATTTGAAGCCCGGCCTTGGTAACGCATGCCTTTAATCCCAGCGCTTGGGAGGCAGAGGCAGGTGGATCTCTGTGAGTTCGAGGCCAGCCTGGTCTCCAGAGAGAGTGCCAGGATAGGCTCCAAAGCTACACAGAGAAACCCTATCTCAAACAACAACAACAACAACAAAGGATTGTATTTGATTCATTTTTGATCCATTAAAATTAGTTGTCCCATGTAATATAATCAATATTCAGGGCTTGTTAAATTAACCAAAGGATATCCTACCCCATGTGTTTAAATCAATTGGGGCTGTCCCAGTTAGGGTAGCTGTCAGGAGATGTCGTGACTGGCAGCACTCAGGTCTATGTTGCATGTGTTTGGTTTGGTTTGGTTTTTTAGAGATAGGGTCAGGTAGCAAGTAGTCCAACCTGTCCTTCAACTAACTACGTAGCCAAGGATGTCCTTGAACTTCTGATTCTCCTGTTTCTACCTTGCACATGTTACAATTGCAAGCATGTACCACCGTGCCCAGTTTATTCAGTGCTGGATACAGAACTCAGAACTGTGGGCTGGAGAGATGGCTCAGCCAGTAAGGGTTTCTCCTAAAACCTGCAATCTGTCTTTGGTTTCTGTGATCCTTATGGTGGAGGAAGGACACAACTTAGTCCTACAAGCTATTCACTGGTCTCCACCTACATGCTGTGGCACATGCATACAATTAGCATGTGAATATACATACCAAAATAAATAAAATTAGTTAAATTTTAAAGAACTCAGGGCTTCCTGCATGCTAGGCAAGTACACTACCAACTGAGCTTTCTTTTCAGCCAACGCACATGATTGACAGATTGCAGGAGTATCCACATCATGTGAAAATGGAAAGTTAGGTTAAGTTTCCTTTGAGTATGATTATCTGATATATTAATGAGTTAGTTTTGCGTTTTCTCCACATATTTCCTGAGTGCTTGCTATGTGCCTAGCATTGAAGTTACAAAGGCAAATGTGGTTAAGCCAGTATCATAAGAAACCAGCCATTAGTGACTAAAAGAAGGTATGCTTAGGAAAACAGGTATAAATTTTTATAAAGAAAAATAAATTGAAAAGGACATATGTTTTGAGCAAACTTGAAAGGGAATAACCAGTTAGACAAATTGAGCCTCATATCATGTCTTTCTGAATGTCTGAGAAGGGAAAATTTGGAGAGCAAAGACCACGTGCTATGAAATTTCCATAAAATTAGTGAATCATTTGCTATCAAGATATGTGGTAAGGCTGGATTAATTCTGTAGAGATTAATTAATTTCTGAAGTATTTTGTAACTCTTGGAACAACTGTACCTTCTTTTATTTCCCAAACTCCTAAAGATGATTAATTTTCCCATCTTCCACTGTGGCTCTGCAGAGGCAAGGGCATGGAATAGAACAGTCTACAAGTCAGATATAAGCAAGGTTTCTGTTGCCTGGAAGAGAGATTCTAGCAGTAGGGCAACTGTGGTTCTCCCCCTCCCCCACCAAGGACTCTGGTCCCTCATGCAACTCATCTTTCACACATGTCCAAATTCGTCTTAACAGAATCATCGTCACTAGCTGGGACATGATGCCTAGGTGGGCGGGGGATTCCCCGTGTTGTTTCAGTCATAGTTGTCTTTGAGTTTGGCTGGCATGTTCATGATTAGTTTACTAACAATTGGGTTTTTTTCTTTTTGTGCCATATGCTATTCCATGATTCATCAGCTTTGAGTCTGTTGCCTTGAAGGTGAAACAATTTCTTCCAATGTTGATATTTCAAAATCTCATAGATAACAAGCACACACATATGCAGAGTCCTTTCAGAAGTTTGAAACATTTGGAGATGAATGAATTACGCTGCTACAAATGGAAAGGAGTGCTGTAAAATTCTAGCAATTCTATCCAGCCGTCTTTTGTGAACAGCTGCTGGACACTGACCCTGAAAGGCCAGAGGCTTTACTACTTTTGTTTTTCCTTGTGAAATTATTGATGGTGTGCATTACAGATGACTTTAAAATTTTTAACAGTTTACCTAATTGCCTTGCTATATATTTCTTTTAATGATTTTGGTTATAAAATCTTTATTTGGGATGGGTGGTGGTTGTGGCACATGCCTTTAATCCCAGCACTTGGGAAGCAGAGGCAGGCAGATATCTGTGGGTTCAAGGCCAGTCTGATCTACAGATCCAGTTCCAGGACACATGCATGCCAAAGCTATGCAGAGAAACCCTGTCTTCAAAAATAGATAGATAGATAGATAGATAGATAGATAGATATAGATAGATAGATAGAGATGGACTGCTTAATAAATAAATAAATCTTTATGGAAGTGAAAGGCTTAAGTTTTAAATTATTTGTTTATATTGTAATCGTGGCTTCTTTGTGGATTCAGTGAGCAGCAATGACTATCTAAACATCAAGAAATAGTCTTTAAGTTTCTGATACAAAGTTTAACCTTTCAGTGTTTGAATACAACACTTTACATTTTCTGAGTGCAAAACAAAGCCATTCTTTCTGCATAGGCACTTGTTAAGCATTAGAAGATGAGGTGCCTGATAAACATGGTCCACATTAAATTTCTGCTGACTGCTTTCATCAGTGCACTTAGTGCATTGTAGCACTTACCTGCAGGTCTCATACTCAGAATGCTGATGACTTTTGCAGAGAAGAAAAACTGATTTCATGGTTTGAATGCATGTAAAAATATCTATGTGAGTTGTACGATTGGAAAGAGATTTTTAAAAGATTCTAACTTTTAGCATATCTTCTTCCTTTCCCCTTACCTGGTTTTAGCTCCTCTTTGGTTCAGGTGTGCTGGTGTCCCTAAACCTTTCCGGGCCTCAGCTGGAGAAAGTGGTGATTGACAGAAGCCTGGTGGGGAAGCTCATCTCAGACACCATCAGTGATGGTAATTACACCCATGTGCAAATCAAGTGCCTACATTAACAGTGGGGCAGGAGAAATACTTTGTCAACAGGTAGACTAATTATTACCACTGGGGACTTGCAAACACAACAAGTAATTGCTTGTAATAGCGTACTTACAACCCCTGGGACCAATAACAGGCTTCAACTAATATTTAATGTCCATGCACTTTTCTTCTAAAGTGTCAGGCTCAGAGTCTAAGTACTTTCCAATTTTCCTTTACATTTTTAAACATAATTTTAAAGTAAGCTTTTCTCATTCATTAAGAATAATTTCTCTGTCATTGATAATTCAAATTTTTCTAAATGAATCATGCATAAATAACACAAATATGCCAAGACAGGCATTGGTGAAATACCCCTAGTGCTTTGCTTCCTATGTGAAGCCGAGTTGTTACTTGTTAATGAATGCTAGATTCTGAATAATGTGGGGTTATACTTTCTAAATAGCAAAAGTCAATGCCAGATACACCAGGGAAGGCCAGATCTATTAAGCAACAGTACTGTGCATGCTTGGTATAAAAGCACATTCAAAAGATTTTAAGCCATTTATTGAGTAGGTAGGTTACTAATATTTATTAGAGCTATAAAGGTTCCATTGTATTTAATTCAAGAAAGGGACTCTATAAGATATGATTATTTTCATTCTAGTAGATAAGGAAAGTGAAGCTGAGCTAACTTATGTTAATGGTCAAGGTTATGTAGTCAGGAAGTGATTGAGCTGAGATCTGAACACAAGTTCTGACCTATTTTCTTTCTACTGTACTATGCTAACTCTGGATTTTAAGATTCTGTTCCTTTATTTGGAGTAAAAAAATAAAAACAGGCCAAATTACCATGAAAAATTAAAAATAGTATCTGAAATTGAATAACAAAGGAAGATGTGGTCTAGCAAAGAGGACAGAAGTGCGAGGAAAAGACCCCTTTCTGCTATATGTACCACTCCTGAGGACAGTGGCATAATTGCAGACCTTAAAGAAAGTACTCTGCAGGATGGCTACAATTAGCAACACCACTGATAACAACAGGTGGAGGTAGGATTGTGGGCATGCCACTTCCTCCACCATGTAGTGGTGTGATGCTAAGGGGGTTTCTCTTTTCCTGGTCTCATTACGCCCTTCATTGACTTTGCAAATAGCACTGACTATGAATTTTCTCATATTCATGTTCTTCTGTTGGACTGAGCTGGGAACACAATTCTCTCTGAGTTACCTTATTTGACACTCTCATGGGACTCGATAATAATGTGGTTTGTTGGCAGCTCTCCAGAGTCCCCAGTGATTGTGCAGACCCTCTGTTGTTCACTGTGTGTGCATCCAGAGGTAGATGGAGAAAAGGGTAGACAATGTTCAGTAATTTCTTTTTACTTTTTTTCCTATTAGCAGTTAACATAGTAATAATGCTTTATATAACCTGTGATATTATTTGCCTATTTATATTCTTTAGAAATAAAGCTGTAGAAATTTTTTTTGCTGATCTTCATTATTAAATACTAATTTACGTAATATATACATTTGGGTGTAACATACTTTATTTCACCCAGTTTGTAAATTACAGATTGTGTGTGTGTGTGTGTGTGTGTGTGTGTGTGTGTGTGTGTGTGTGTGTGTGTGTGTGGTTTTTTCTCTGTGTAGCCCTGGCTGTCTGGAACTCTGTAAATCATGCTGGCCTCAAACTCACAGATCCACCTGCCTCTGCCTCCCAGGTGATGAGATTAAAGGCATGTGACAACACACCCAGCCTCTTTATGTGTTTTAAGCTCTGGTCTCCAAATACTTTCTTTGGTGGTGTTCTTCAGGAATTAGTTTATATGGGAATAGTCACTGAAAAAGAAGGGAAAATACCAAATCCATATTATAGTATTGCTGGTTATTGTTTATTTCTGCTATCTTTAGTATCATTAGAAATATGTTAGTAATATTGCCATTATTGCTCTTTTTATATAAATATAAATATATACATATATATAAGCTAAAAAATAAAAATAATAAAAAATTAATATTTTAAGTATCAACTTAAGATGGTTTTTACATTTGTATGTGTATGTGTTCTGTTTTCTACAATAAAATGTGTTGTTTGTATTCAAAAAAAGAAATATGTTAGTAACTTTGATTAATATTTATTTTCTGACAGTATCTTTTAATAATATTTCAGTTGAAGTGTATTAATTTGTTTTAACTTTGTTCTAACTTGGGATCATTAAATCCCTGTTTTAGCTCTTCTTACAGACAGTTTCATCATCTTATCATTTTTGGCACAAAACAAGCTATGTTTTATTCAGTTTACAAAGAAGATGGATTCTCTTGATGTAAATAAGAGACTGGAAAAACTCTCAGCCTTGGATTATAAGGTAGAAATTTCAGTGTATACAGTCATATTACTACTGATTAAGGCACACTGGAACATTGCATGAGTTAATGTTATGGTTTTTACTCTTGAACCATAACATTTGTGGGTTTCAGGAACCCTGAATCTGCCTTTGTACCTTTCCTGTGGTGGAGGCCTAACCTAATGCTGGTGTATTTGAGCTTTTGGAGGGCAAAGTTGGTGTTCGTGCTAATGTTAGTATATACTCCATTTTCACGCTACACTAAGTATCCATATAGCCAGTCTGGTTTTTACTCTAAGAAAGGAAAAAAGGAAAAAGGGTCTTTCAAAGATTAATAGAAAATACAGTAAGTAATGGGAAGACCCCTACATCCCACACTGGAGGAAATAGAAAAAAAAAAAAGTTTCTGCTCACTCCAGGTAATTTGTTTCCCTGTAGCATGGACTTTACATCTGTTAAGGGAGGGTTTTTTTTAAAAATGATGTACTTAAAGTTTCCACATTACATTTTAACTTCTGGAAAGGCATACTTTCTGCAAGGGTGAACATCTAATACATTTTCCAGGCTGTTTCAGTTCAAGGCATCTTTTCAGCAATGACTTGTGTTTGCAAGATTGATCCAGCCTCTGTGACGTGGATTTGAGACAGTTCACTGTTCAGTAGGAACAGAGCTGATACACAGCTTTCTTAAAAATGATGCACATGTATGCCATCCTTGAGTGTCTGTAGCAGAGGCAAAGCCAGCCCCATGGCTTATAATTGTTGTGTGTGCTTTGAAGCTGTTTTTTGTACCTAACTTCTGCACTTTGGAATTGTTATTTATGATTATTGGGGTGATAGTGACATAGGAACTATATAATTTGTTTAATAGAAACATCTATTCTTATAAGAAAGAGTTTAACATGGAAAAAGTTACCCGAAATAAGCTTTTCATTGTGGTAACAATAATCTGGCTTGTATGCCAGATTTGTGAAGCTTCTATAAAATTTGCAGGATAATGATTTTCTTTAATTGGCAATTTATGATGTTCATGTATTATATTTAGTTAGTCAAAAATAAAAGGTTCCCTTTAACATTATTACAGAGTTGTGTTTCCCCAAATTATTTACTTAGATTGATTCTAAAGTGTTGTTTTCTCCCTAAATGTGTCACTATTCATTACCTAAAACCATTTAAAGTGTTATAACCATATTATGTAAAATCCTATAAGACTAGTTCCTTTGTTTCATCTATGATGGCTAACTGAGTGACGTCTTCTTAACTGAAAAATGGTAGCTAATGAGAGCTAAGGAAAACTGTGAAGGTGTCAGGTTTTCTTAATATATATATATATATATATATATATATATATATATATATGAAACATAATTAGTGAATGTCACCCTTTACCACCTGGAAGGATAGTTTAAGAAGCTTACCCATTTTCCCTGCTCTCTTGATCACAGAACACCAGTGCCATTAAAATTCACAGTAAACAGAAATCTCAAACAACTGATCTGCACTGTATGAAAACTGAATATGCCAATCATTCATTTTTAACTTGACTTTATCATCTAGAAATTTGTAACATGCCTTCATGGTAAGCTGGACACCAAAATAAATGTACACGTGTCCTTAAATATTTAGTGATTATAGTAGTTCTCTCAAATAAGAAGGAAGTTGTAATAATTACATCAAAAACTTAACTTTAAGTATTTATACTTAAAAACATAGAGTGCATCTGTGTTTTATCATTGCCCATTTGGATTTTCTTTCCACTTATACCATAATTTAATTATTTAACACTGAAATAATTTTGACAAGAAGAATTTCAGGGTAAATATCCTGGAAGTGTTGACCTTTAACAAGCTTTCCTGTCCACATTTTTAAAATCCAGTTCAGTTTAACAGTTGAGGGACAGTGCAAGGAGTTAAATGTTTACTATGAGAGAACAACACCAGTAATTACTTTGATTTTGGTTCCTTTTGATGTGTATTCAGAGGATGAAGAGGTCAATAATATTATGGCCATGCAAATAGAAAAGAGTTCCTTTTGACCATGTTGGAAAAAAAATAGCAAAGGATTATTAAAGCATTAACCTTGATTTTAATGGCCTTGGTTGAGTGGTGAGATCACAATTTGGATGAGCCTGATTATTTACTAAATACAATACATAAATGCAACGGGTTCTTAACACCCATTGCACTCTGGCATTATCGCATTACTGCCATCCTTTGTTGCCTTGCAGACAGGAATATGAAAGCAATCTGTCATGTAGTGAGACTGGCTCCAGAAGCATTTCTCTGATAAGAAGACCCCCTGCCCTTTGCTAGTGTCTGGTCCAGTAGGCTTAGCCATGCGCTTAATCCCCAGAAAGTGGTTCGATTATTGCTGACCAGCAATGGCAAGATAGTTTTTTTTCCTTCCAAGCTATCAACCTTCCATTAATTCCTTAAGCAGAAATACGGTGCAATCTATATTTCCTTGGCATGTGTCACCCAGATGGTGCCGTGCTTATGTTTTCAAATAACCATGTTCCAAAATAACATAGTTTGAATAATAAATTCGACAAATCCTCCCTAAGAAAGAGAAGTGTAATTCTCAGAAGCTGCATAAACTTTCACGTACGATGCCATGTCTTATCCCTTTATGCAAATATGTGTGTGTATGTCTCATATATTCTTTTAAGAGATATTTGCCTCAAGTTGTTTTTTTCCTTTTATTGTTGTCAGTCACTGTTACCGTGTTCGTGTCTTAAATAGTAGTCAGACACTCTTGGTCAGCAGTACTGAACTTGTCATTTAATATAGCTGATCCTAAACCCTATGTGTAGGTCGCTGCTGTCAGGCAACCATGACTGTACATTTTGGTATTGATTGGAATCACTACATCTAGCTCCTCCCTAACATTTCTTTTTTTCCTTTCCTCTGCTAAAAATTGGGAGAATTTTGAACATATGTCTTTTTTATATATGTGTCAAAAGAATTTGGTAAGTTCTGACACGCTCTTATGCACATGTTGAAGATGCATATTTACTCATGTGTATTACATTTACAGATGCTTTTATTTTTTGGAAATATTCAGATGATTTTACATCCTTTAAAAGAGACATTTTCATATGTTTTTTGTTTGTTTGTTTGTTTGTTAACCATTAGATTTCCTATTATGACATACCTGGCCCAGCAAACAGGACACTAGAGCGTCACTTAGCTATCAATGCCATTCAGGATGTAGTTGCTTGCTGGTGGCCTCTGGTCAGTGATGGTGCTTGGCCTTGGACTCCGATCTCTTCTGAAAAAGACAGAGCCAATCTCCTGCTCCTGGGTTTTACTCAAGGAGGACTTCAGGTAAATCTAAAACAAATGCATACATTTTAATGAAGTGCAAATAAAATAGTATTCCTGGTTTTTCTGTTCTGAAATATCTGAGAATATGTTTTAAACCTATAATTTATATTATCAAATATTCGAAAAGAAATTGAATATAAAATGAGATCCTAAAATGTAATGTAGCTAGAGCATAAGTAGACAATTCCAGGCTGGCTGAAATAGTATAGTGATTGAAACCACAGACTTCTGGATTCAAATGCTGATTCTGCCACTGCCTCCCTCTGCTTGAGTAAGTTACTCTAGGTGTTGTAGTTTCATTATTTGAATAGTAGAGTTAAACTGGTGAAAATTGTCTATACATTATAGCAACACTTTTGCACAACACACTTACAATCACTATTTGTTGAGATTTTGTGCCTGGAAAAACCATGCTACCAGTTACCCTTAAAAAAAAAAAAAAAAAAAACAGTCAAATTCCTATTTTGGGCAAGCTGCTGTGATGGCATACCATCAGTTGGGCAAAGAGCTGCAAGGAAGGCTGCAGCACAGCATCCTCACCTAGGACCTGATTGCTGATGGAGCCCTGGGAAGCACTGCTCCTGCGGTCACATCAGCATTCTCATTCAGTGCTGTGGTCATTTACTTATCCACATGAGTGAACCTGTGTGTGCTTTTGCTCATACCTGTGTCTTTTTTATAATTAAAAAGAATTCTCTCCTTTTTGAAGTTTTAGTTTTAACTGAGTGAAGTGAGTCTATTCTAATGTCTTCCTCTAAACCTTCAGATTTGAAGAAGTATTTCTCAAATTAGTGTTCTGGGATGAAATGGGTAGTTCTATGAGTTCTTTTTTTTCCCACCTACATAAACTTTTAGTCTTTTGAATTTTGTTTGTTTTGGAGACTGGTTATGTGCCCTAAAACTCCTGATCCTCCTGCCTCAGCCTCTTGAGTTTTGAGTTTGAAAGCATGCGCTACCAAGTCTAGTTTTAGGCTGCCTTTTAATATTGAAGGGTCCTAGTACTTTATATTTGATATATATGCATGTGTTTTCCTTAAGAACTGGACTTTTTCCAATTACTCTGCAGTAAGCTTTCCCAGTTCTGTGTCTGACTTGGGTAGATCACCTAGTCTAACTGGCCTTAGTTTTCTTATTTCTAAGGTAGTAAATTTAAACCAGGTAAAGTTTTCCCTAAGCCCCTAATGGCTCTAAAGTGGGCAGGTATGGGAACTGTTTTGGCCAGATCTGTTCTGGTAATTTCCACTTAAGTCTTTAGTATATGTTGAACCCAAACTCAGCCTGAGCCAAACTGATCTTGACCTACATTCCCAGTGTTGTTTTCTTGTATAAATATATGCTCTGGACAAATGAATTTACTCACTGACTCATTATTTCCATTTCCTGTATGAATGGTGTTTCTGCCTGAAGTAGCCCACAGCTTTGAACATGACCTAGCATAGCATGATGTTCCATCCCAGATGGTAGGAATAGGAAACTATCTTGCCTTTAAAGACCTTAGTTTTGGGGGTTTTTGTTTTGTTTTGTTTTACCAATGAGAGACAAATAGGAAAACAAATAGGAAAGTGTTTGTTTGCTGTGGGTAGAGTGTGTATAAGCTCTAGTAGGTAGGAGCCAATAGGAAGTGATTGATTCTACTCAGATAGTGAGAAGATTAAAAGGCTTTCCAATATGCTCAGAGACAAGGTTGGTACCCAGCTCTACTTGCTTGTATCATCTGTTCCAGATTTCATTTCAAGCCTTTATTAGCACTGTGGAGTGATTTTGCTAGCCTTTTCTCTGCTCTGAAACAAAGGGAATTATATAAGCTAGGTTTTTATAAGTTATTGATTCCATTTTTAATGAGTTGTGCAAGTTTTTGTGGAGGAAATTCTGTTTTGTCACATTGTTTTCCATAGTTTTTATGCAAGTGTCCACTTTATGAAAGCATCTGAATCCATTCTTATAAATTTGTATATGACATGTGAATATCACTTTTCTGTGCTACTGGAGATCTAACCCAGAGCCTCTGTCATGCTAGGTAAGCAAGCACTCTCCGACTGAGCCACACCCTAAGCCCACACATGATTTTGAACCACTACTTTGTATGGTCTCTTTCACTTCTGATATTTTATTATATGAAATTCATTTTCTTGGCAAGGGCTTTTGTTTTAGCATTTGGCCCTTTCAGTTGCTCTATCAAAATCCAGCTGTTTAAAAAATTAATTTTTTTTTGCCAGAAGCTTTTGTGAATTTCACTTTGTAAAAGGTAAATAAATGTCTTTAGGGGAAAATACTTGTTTTACTTTTTTGTATGAAGACTTAATCTTTAACTGGAACATTTTTAACATGTCATGAACTAAAGCCGCTAGTAACTCAAAGTTGTAGGTGGTTAAGACTGTTCCTTTAGTTTCAGTTTTTTAAACAAATCATCAGAATCATAAGATAATGTGCTTTTAAGCACTGAAATTATAACCAAAAGGGGGAAATCTTCATAGAGAAGAAATGGAATAACCTTTGAATATATTAGACTGCAGAATTTTAAAAAAGCATTTCCCATCCAGGCCCCAGCAGAAAAGATAATAACTCTGATTTGGACAGTGGTAGAATCCTAGAGCAGTGTTCCTACCCCAGTAATACACTGCAGTCTCCTGCAGAGCTTCTGAGACTAGGCCGCCTCATGTCTTCCATCAGAGTCTGCGGTCAGGAGGGGGCATCAGTAATCTGTTTCAGGTTCCCTAGGTGATCTCATGTGCATCCAAGTTGAGACCCACTGCTTTACAGAAAACTTAAAAAAATAAAAACTGAAGCCATCGTTTTTGCATAACAGACCATGGAAAGGATAAAGCCCACATACTGAAGCAAATAAGAGTTTTAACAGTAAAGTCTAAGTAGAAAATTGGCTTACCAAGCTGCTAAAAAAAATAAGAAAAGAAAACAAAGGAAACAGAAATCAACTCTCTGTGACCAAATTTATCTGCCTTTCTGAGGGAAAACATTTTAAAATTTATTTTATGGATATTAGAAAATGTCTGGCCCAATTTCACACCATAGAGTTCTAAACAAATAATGTGTATCTTAATTAGAAGTGTGGAGCAAAGAGAGTTATGTAGTCTAAGAAAAATGGGTGATAAATAGTGTAAAAAAAAGGAACTTTTATCAGTGAATTCATTAGGAATTTTAGGGGCTTGGGAGACAATTCAATTGCTGTTCACCCTGTAGACATGAGTTTGATCTTCAGGGCCAAATAAAAAGCCAGATGTGATCCTAACACTGGGGAGTTGGAGACAACAGGATCTCGGAGGGTCTGTCTGACCTTCCAGCCCATCTTTTGTCAAGCACCATGTCCTGTCTCAACGGAGCAAGGTGGATGCCTCCAGATGAATGACACAGAGCACAGACCCCGACCTCCCCAGACACACCCACACATGTGCACCTGCACACATACACAAGCCTGTACATATGTATTTAAACATATTTTAGCAGTTTGTGTGTGGGTTGTCATGTATTATATGGTAACATCTTCATTTAAATATTTTACTCCTTATACTTTATTTTGAAAAGTTTTTACCATTTTCTTCTGTTGTATACATTCACTTTGACAAGAATGTCATGACAACTTATTCTTCCCTTTTATATTTGCACAGCCGTTTTAGCTTTTTAGATGTGTGAATCTGATACTTCTTTCTGTCTGTGGTGCTAACATTACAGTATCTACTGAGAGACCAACTGAACTTGCTCACCAAAGTAGTCAAGACACAATCACAGAATGTTTCAGATCTAGGGAGATACATCTTACAGATGTATGTTTTTCTTATGAGAGGTGTTGTTGTTTGTGTGTGTTTGAAACAAAGACTCATGTAGCCCAGACTATCCTTGAGCTTCCAATTATCTTGTCACTGCCTTTGATGCTGGGACATAGGCATGCACCACCACCAAATGAAGCATTGTTTTTGCAGCAACTTTTCAACAGCAGTAACTTATGGGAAAATGTTTGTGTCCAGCTATTAATATAGTACAATTTGGCAAAGGAATCCAAAAAATTTACAGATAATTTTAACTGAAAAGCCAAAATGTTTATGAACACCATTAGTTCATATATTATATTTAAGAGAATACAAAAATATTTTTAATGCTGGCTTAATATATATTTATTACAACATATAATGTACATAAAGCAAATCACACAAAGTAAATGCATAGGTTAATGTGCTAATATAAGCAAACCACCCTTGGAATCAGCAGCCAGGTGGATAAATAGAACTGTGCAGCACCTTTCTGTACTCTTGGTCTTAAATGATACGCCATACCCCAAGGTAACCACTATCATTCACTTCAGCCACTTTCTTACTTACACAGTTTTGCTACCTATGTGTACGTTCCCAGAAAACAGAACATATTGCCCACTTAAAGCATTTCAGTGAGTATCTTAGTCTAGTTCCCATTAGTCCCATTCTTTCTTTAAAATGTATCTATTACAACTACAGCGTCTGTGGGCTGGACCTATTTGTATCTGCATGGCAACCTTTAACATATTTATCTGTTTTCTGACCATTCTACACGTTAGTAGTTTTGGTGAGACTCTCAGTAGTAGTTGTCCTTTTATCAGCAGACACAAGTTCATTTGCTTTCTTAGTCTTTCCTGGTTTTTGATGATAGCAACTATTGATGTTCAGTTCCAAGATGCATTGATTCATTAACATTATAAAATGGTAATTTTCTAATTATATTATTTCATTTTCATTTATTATTTTTGACCCTTTTATAGTATGACACCTCTATCATCCTTATATAATAAGCTGAATAAAAAGCTCCTTTCTTACCATTTGTTAAGATAATAAAGTGATCTCTAATGAAGATGGTTGATTAAATTTTAAAATAGTATTATTAATTCATAAAGTCAAATGCTGTATTTGATATATTTATAAATTGTAACTGTATCCTTTAGGAACTTAGATTACTCCATTTTTGGCCAGTAAAAGCTTCTTCAAATTGCTGTTTCTTATTATGATCTCAGCAATCTT